AGCTGAACTGAGGCTCGTTCAGCCCACAGCAGCTCCAGAGACAACAAGATGGATAAAGACAAAACACATCATGGCCTGTTTTTGCAGGACAGAGGAAAGACAACACAATCCACGAGGCCATCACTCCAGCAAGATCTGCATTTTGTCTCTCATTCTCCCAAAACAACATCAGCTGCAGCTGGCTGAAGTTTGCCAGAGCAACAGAGCTGGGATGCAGCAGGGGATCTGCCCCCATTCAAAAAGAGTGGGTGCTTTACAAGCTCTTCGGAGCTTGCCAACACGATCACATTAGGCAACAGCACATACAACCTCCCACTATCCGCTTCCCTTATAAATAAGGGCTGGAAGATATTTGGGCTTGAAGGGGGAGGAGGAGGCAACTATTTCTCAAGAAAACAAATCCAATTATTTGTATTAGAGTGAATTTGTAGAGCGCTTGCTTTCAGAATAAGCATTTTCTGCAGATCTCAGAGTTTTAAATCAATAAGTCACTGATAAATTTATGTGGGTGGAGAACTAGATGTTACTGTGGTGGGATGGAGGTGACGTTGTTTTACTTCTGGATCTTTGTGAGGTTTTCTTTTGCAGTAGAGCTTATTTGGGAAAGAAATAACCAGAAGTTTGGACCGCTGCCTCTGCCACTTACTAGGCTCTCATAAGTCCCTAAGGCTGAAGAGTTTTTTAAACAGTCACTAGTAGGGTACCAGTCTGAGCTTCTGACTGATCTACAGGAAACCTACAGAGGCACCAAGTGCCAACTGTAGTGCTTGAAAGATTGTAGTGAGCCCTTCATAATCAGGCACTAGACAGCTTCCAGATGGCTATCCCCAAAACCGAACGCATCAGCAGAGGCTTCTGAAATCTGTGCCTCTGTTTCCCCAGTCACATTTTGAATAACCTCACACCAGAGCTGCACGTCTTGACGTCTCTAAAGTGCTCAGAGATGCCGAGATGAAAGATAACATGAGTGCAAAGTAAGGACCAATTCCCAGAGCTTGGCAATCACTGCAGCTGATGGGGATAAATGTACCACGTATCTGCCACTGAAAATGTGGGTTCTGAGCCTGTCTTAAATAGCAACTACTTAAGCAGCAGCTCCCTTGGAAGAAGTCATCTTTGGGTTAGCTGGCTGGGCAAAAGGAGCCCCTGCAGACAGAAAACACAGAAATGCAATATACTACTATGAAAAATAGATGTTTCATTCAAATAAGGGGTCTAATCTGCTCCAGTAGAATTTGGTGGTGAGATTTCAACTGATTTTAGTAGGAATATGATGGAGCTGTTCAGGTTTACTAACTGGTGTGTTAAGAAATCAGCCAAATATAATCTGAAAAGCTATTTCCATCTCTGTTTGTTTTCTAAATGATTAAAAATCCAGTTTAAATATTGCAAGGAAAACTTTAAATCGAGCAAGAGAAGTTTTGGCTTCCTTCCGAGTAGAAGGCAATTCCCCAGAACACTACTGCAGATCGAACAGATGGGAATTATTTTTCACTCTTTAAAAAATCTAATTCCATAGCACTGAGATTAACTGTAATCATATCATTATTTACATATAGGACAAAAGGTAAAATGATTAAAAAAAAAAAACTACTACAAGCAAAAATAACCGGCACAAAAAGGGCAAGAAAATGTCATGCCTTTCTCACCAAGCAACATAATTGTTATAAATATATAGTTAAACACAGTCTACACCATCCTGTCAGCACAAAGGATAAACACTTAGGTCACTGTTTTCAAGATTTTACATACAAGTTGATCAAACGTATAAGAATTTTCCCTCTGAATATCAAGAAAATATCATGTCTTGTGAGAGGACAGGATCAGACCTAAGAGAGGAAATGTTTTATTTCAGTAATGCAAGGGATTAAGCAAAACAGCAAAAGAAACATATTGCAGCTTTTCTGTTAAAGAGGCAGAGAGGTATTAAAAACTTATTTATTTTTTTAAGTCTTTTGCCAGCTCTGATAAGACGGCAGCTCAGTAAAGCTGAAGAGGCTTCTAAAGTAGCTGCCTGAGCGTGTGATTCACGTTGCCTCTTTGCCTTTCAAACGCACAACAAAATCGTCCAAGTAGTTTCATGTCAAACTAATTACCAGACTCCTACCATGGTATTTCTAAACTACGGCTGAGAATTGTGAGATTAGCCAGCCAATCTGTAGAAACACGGAAGGGAAGAGGAAACCCTACATATCACCCAAAATAAGATGCTGCTTCGTTCCAGCTTAGCAGGGACCAGCTCACAGCCATGTCTTCTAGTGAGGGCAGCAGTGCATGAGCTGCACGAGGAGATGGGTTGGGGAGGAGCTGAGAAGAACTGGCTGCATCTGACCTGTGAGCTCCACCGTGGAAAGCATTTCAGTTCCCACATAACATGAGGCTGTTCACAGATTTCGGCTTACACAGGCTTTTCCAAACATCTATTTTTATTCCCAAAGTATTCCCTGTCACTGTATGCTCAAATCAAGTCCAGGCAGCGTGGCTGAGGCTGTTGACAGATCTGAACATCTTTGCTGGGGTTATAACCTTCCTAACCATCCACCTTGCTAATGCACAACCTGCATCCCGAGAGCCGAGCTGGGACATCTTCTCTCTCACACTGCCAGGTGCTAGGGTTTCCACAGCAAGACTCTGGCAACCCAGAGTCTGCTAAAACGGGAGGACATGTCATAACAGTTTTGTGGAACCTGGGGGAGATTGGCAGGGAGGAAAGAAAAAAAAAATTCAGAGCATAATAATAATTAAAAAAGGAGGAGGAATAAAGAACTTGTTTTGCCTCTTAATCTGAAGGAGCGAAGTGCTTCTCCCCTGATGCTGGTGTCCCACATATGCATGTCTTATAGAAATAAAGCTGGGACAAGCTCGTGCTCTCCCTCCACCTTTCTGTATGCATATTTCAGAGGATAAAAATCCCAGCACCAGGACCAGCCAGGAGGCATTCTACATCCCTGTGCATTTCCGGGCACCATGCAGCCTACCACCACCACACCGCTGCTCCAGCCCCCCGAAACCTCTCAGACCTACAGTTCCTTCCAGGCACCAGGGTTGGGGTACCCTGGCCATGAGCCTGTTTGAGTGCAGCTTGTGCAGCACCCACCTTCTGTGCACGGTAGTGAACGCTCAGCAGGAGGGTACGTGCACAGAGCCCCCTCGGTCTGGGAGCAGGGACCCCAGGGCTGCTCAGCCCGTGCACGTGAGCGCAAGCTTTCCTCCACGGACTGTGCATGGGCAGCCCCAGGCACGTGCAATGCATCAACGCTTTGAACTCAAACTGCACCCAGAGACACGGGAGGAAGGTCACAGAGCTGCGCACGTGTAAACCTGCTCTCTGCCTCGCACAGAGAGGTTCCTGCTGCAATCTAACCTCTCACTACACAGCCCCCAGGAGCTTCATCTCCATGCAGCAGCTCCCACCTTCCCTGTTCCATGTCTCCAGATCACTTTGATACCCTACAACATTCTGCTAGCCCAAGTCTCTCCACATAAATTTACTCTCCGAGTCCTCCCTTATCCCACCTCCTTACCCTTCCAGGAATGGAGCAGAGTATCCTACAGAGAGCAACTTCCCATTGGCAGAACAATTCTGTATTTATTTCCAAGTAAGGAGAGTGTCTGGGTCTTAAAGACAAACCCTTTTGTCTTGTGCTCATCAGAACCAGGTAGGACATGGAGACAGAAAAGCAGGACTGCCCTAGCACCGAGCCCTCCCACCACAGAGCCCCTGGGCTGGCATGATGCTCTGCCCATGCAAAAGGAGAAGCAGTTCCTGCCAGGTGCACAACACAACAAGTAAATCTTCCACAGCTGCCAAAGGCAACCTGTTATAAACAGCCCTCTCTGTTATGAGATATGGACTCTCCACAACACCGCTAATAAATAATATCCTGCAACCCTTCTGTGCTTAGAAGTGGAAGTTCAGCGACAGTTCTGCTTATCCAAGAGGGGTCACCGTTAAAAGTGGAGTGTCAGGAAAATACTATTTTTAATTAAAATTCAAACATTTTGTGAAAAAGATGAGGAGCTTGCTGTAGTCTCCCCAGTCCAGAAAACCCTTTCCCCCCCCCCCACCTTGAACATTATACATTATAATCAGCTATTCGCAAAGCCAAGGTTTGGATGGAAAGAGAGAGGATTTATAATCTGCTCTGCAATAACATGCTAGAGCCCTGAGACCAGGATCCCTTGTAGACCGTACAAGCACACAGAGAAACCTACCCATGCTCAGGAACCAGCCCAGCCACTGTAACCAAGGCAGGGACACTGCTACTTCAGGGCCACCTAGAGCCCAGAGGATGATCTTTTTTCCCCCCTTATCTTCTCAGGAGAGCGTTCCCACCAGCCACTTTCCATTCAGGGAGAAAAAAAAAAAAAAAAAAGGCTTTGTGCAAGGGGAGCAGCTGATCCCAATAAACAGACCAAAAAGAAAAAAAAAAATCCTGCTGCCAGCACCTAATCACTTTCAGCTGTTCCCTCGGACGTACCTTTTTTCCACTTTATTTTCCTGCTGCAGTTTAGGGCTAACCCTCTTCCTCTCCTCCCTTCATTTCACACACGCGTTTGACAGCAGAGGAGCGGACAGGTACCAAGGGGTCGCACACTTGGAATGCGGCTGGAAATGCAAGTTGCCTCCCCCAGCGCCGAGCTGGCGGGCAGTCTATCCGCACCGCTCCGCTCCGAGAGCGGGAACTGAAGCCGAGCGCCCCGCATTTCCTTTAGCTGACGGGAGCTGCAGGAGCCGCCGCGCACTCGCGCTCCCGCAGCCGGGCTCCGCGTCGCGCCCTCCGGCGGTGCCCACGGCGGGAAGAGCCCCCGGTCTGCGGCGGCCGCATCCCGCGTCCCGCCGGGCCGGGACCAAGGCGAGGTGCCCCAGCCTGTCCCGGCCGCGGCGGGGCGGGCGGGCCGCGCTCCCCGAGCGCCCTTCCCGGCTGGAAGTTTGGCGGCGAGCGCGGGGAAGTTCCGCGCGTGGCCCGCGTCCCCGCGCGCCGGCCGGGCCCGCTCACCTGGGCGCGCGGCAGGGCGCGCGCAGCCACGTCCCGCGCGCCGCGCGCTCCTCTTCCTCCTTCTCTTCCTCCTCCTCCTCCCGCTCCGGCTCCTCGGCCCCCGCATCGCCCCGCTCCGCTCCGCCCCCCGCCGGGCCGGGCCCGCTATGCAAATCGGGAGGATTTCCCCATTTCCCTCCCCTTCTTGCTCCCGCCACGGCTCCTTCCCAGATGTGCGGGCGGCGGGGCCGGCCCCGGCTCGCCCAGCTGTGGCCGCGGGGAGGCTCCCGCGCACGGGGGACACGCGGGTTCCGGGCCGCGCAAGGGCCGTGGCTCCCTCTCCTGGCTCAACTTGTGCTCCCAACTCCCAGCCTCTCGCAGCGCCTGGGAAGCGGGAAGGTGTCTAAATTCGGCGCACCATCTCCTAGCGTCTAAGTGACATTTGGAGCTTTGCAGGCAGCCAATAAAGCACCGTAAGAGTGCACAGGGTCCTAGTGCTGCTGCTCACCCTCCCTGCTGGCCACTTGTCACTTCCCTGGGGGAAAGCAAAGGGCTCAGGGAAGAGGTGGCTCTGTGCTCTGTGCCATTCCCGCCCCGCTTTTCCGTGCTGTGCTAGCGGAGCAGCTCTCTGTGGCACCGCACAGCTCTAAGCACAGCCTCTTACCCAGAGAAGTGGCAGTTCCTCAATCCAGCACGTTAAACATGATGGGGCTGCCACGGTGGGACATGTCCTGACACGGTCTTCCCTCATCTGCAGGAGGTGCTTCGCAGACCTGGCGCGCGGCTCCGTGTCAGCGGAGCCACCTTGACGCCACCATCCGCCTTATCTCCACCACAGCCATAGCTCTGATGAGGCTGGGATATTTCATGGATGAGGAACAGACGCCTGGAGCTGACTCCAAGGAAAACAGCAGTGACGCTGATGAGTGGAAGAAGAATTTGCAGAAATTTCTGCCAGCACCTTCTCCTGGAGAACGCAGCCAGCAGCAATCAGTGCAGTCACTAGTGTGGGACTGCTCTTACCCTGAGGAGCACTGACAACTTTCTGTCCTCCCAGGTTGGCCAGGAGATTCTGTTCTATGCTGGCAATAAATGACCTGGCCTTATTCATGCTTTTGTCACCTCTTGGCAAGCTGACAGCAAAGCGATATATCTGTACACAAAGCCCTTAGAGCTAAGGAAGATTCTATTAGTTCAAAGTGCTGCAGTACATCTTAGCACTGTCGCCTACAATATTCCTTCCATGCTGGACCAAGCCCAAGATCCCAGTCCTTATCTCCAGCCACGGGCCCAGAAAATCTAGAGGACCAAATTTCACTCCATGTCCTGAAGCCCGATGCAGGGACTGCCCCTGGGCATCCAAATCTTGGCACAGTGGGAGCATCTGCCACAACCTGTCCTGGAGAGCAGGGCCTGGTCAGGGAACCTGGTGCAGCCTCTCAGAGGTGGTGCTAACACGTCCCTTCTCCTCAAGGCCATGTAGGGGAGCCCTGCCCATGTCATGCTGGTGTGAAAGGAGAGCCTTATCAGGCCTGGCTGTGCCTAAGTGTCCATGTTTTCTGTCTGCATGGTCCTGCGGGACTAGCTCTTTGTTTTGGACCTATCTGCTCTTTCCTTTCCAGGGCATAGGAAAAGGAGGTGGAAACTTTCTTGTCCCAGTAGCTTTCTTGTCCCCATGGTTAGCGCCCTTGAAAAACTGCCTGCTTGATTTGTGTCTAGAGTCAGCTCTACTCGAGCCGGCTTTAACCTAAATCCATCCAAGTATTTCAAGTAACATGTTAAGCCAGAGCTCCGTATAGGCTAATTTATTGCACTTTTAGGACAGATTAATCTGTGTTTTGTCCCATGGTAACTGCACTGCTTGCCTAGAGTTACTTTATGTATCTGTACCCTCAGCTTTATTGTTGAATATAGACAAAATCGGACTAGCAAGGCTCATTTTCTGATCTTTATTTTCCACCATATCTGTAGAGAAATATATGTGCTCAAAACCTTCTGTCGAAACTAGACAGTTCACTTTTTCTCAGAGGATAAAATAACAAAAGCACAGCATATTTTATCCATAATGTTTATTACAGCTGTGGGAGTAGCTCAGCTGCTGGTGACTGATGTGTTTTAAGAGTTAAATAGTAGTAATAATAATAATACCTTTCCCTATATAGCGTCTTCCATCCATAGATACACATCTAGGGCAGGACATGTTGTTACTCTTGTTTGGGAGGATCTGTTGCAATACTAGTAGTACTGTTGCAATACTAGTAATGCAGGTTGTCATCCCTACACACGCACAGCCTGAGAAATTCAGCCCATTCCAGAATTGTGAAGCCCTCAACGAGTGCAATTGAGGGGCTTTACACTAACATCATTATTTTTCTCTGATTTTAGTGGAAAGCCAGATTTCAGTATTACCCCTCGCTGAAAGGCTTATCAATTAAGGTTAAAAGCCAATTTTCCAGAGATTGTTTTTAGACTAAAGCTGGTATCAAAATCCAAAACCACACCTGCTTATTTGTTTATTTGTTTTCATGGGAAATATTTCTGGCTTTTTGTGTGTGTGTTTCTGACTTCTTTCTCTCTCTCTCTCTTTTTTTTTTTTTTTTTTTTTTGCTTAAAGATTTAAAAATTTAGCAACTCCCTACTGTAAAATGAGGGTAATATTGCTCTCTTGGGCTCAGCGCTATCATAAGGATTATTTTTGTATTGCTATTTTTTCTCCCCATCCGCTTTCTATGCGAGTGCTTTCTATTTCTATGCAGGGTTAAAATGCAACATGGTTACACCCCAGAGTGAATTATACTACCGCTTGAAGAGCAATTCAGTAAACATAAAAGATTTTTAAACACAAAAAAAAGCAGCATTATGCCACAATTTTAGGCAGGGAGCAAAGTATAGCATTACTAAGTGCAACCACAGGGGAGGACTTTAATAGCAAAGCAATGTGTCGGAGCACAGCCAAGGCACTGGAGCTGCTGATATTGCAACTGCTGGGAAAAATTTCCATAGATCTTCAGGCACAAGTGGCCAAAGACCTTGTTTTTTTCAGCTATTCTCCTATTCCCTGTAGTTATCTTTAGAAGCAGAAACACATAAAGGAACCTGGATCACACAGTGCTGCTCTTTGCCACGTCCACTACGATGCCGTGTAATCATACCCGTGAATGGACTAAGCTCCGTCCTAAAACAAGTGCATTTTGTTTGCCACTCGTCCCCATTACTACTCTTGGGAGATTTTTCAACTCCTTGATGATCAGAAACCTTCTTGCCAGGTTCTCAGTTCAGTTCTGCTCCCTGCTTTTTACCCAGGTATTTTTACAGAAAATGTTGTTGTCTCATTTTCCCCTAGTTATACAGGACAAGCTTGCCAGTCTTCTTTCCCAAAGGACCCTCCATTCTCCTTGGACCTCTTCCCTGCATCTGCTTCAATTTAAATTACATTTAAACTGCATATAGATTACAAATTTATTTACAGGATTAAATGGGAGAAGATCTCACAGATGCCTTGCACAATGACATTAGACACCCAGTTTTTCCCTAAAATATTTCACCCAGTAATCCCAAGATTATATTTACCTTTTCCCAGTTAAATTATAATGGTGGCCCATTAGTCATCCTTTGATTCACTCTTAGGCTCCTATTTCTCCTCCATTCTTGCTTCCAATGGTAAGTTCCCAAATTATATCCGGAACTTGTTATTATTCCTTTGTCAGATTCCAGTTCTCTTGCACTGGTCCCAGCTCTCACCCTGCCTGTGGTTTTCTAATTTGCTCTTAGCCAGCATTTCTGATACTGGGAGACCAAGGCAGTTTCATAACGTCTAAAAGACATGTTCTTGCTTGTTATTTTACTCACACCCACCTAACCCATTTTCCTCCTTCCTAGTTCAGGAAACAAGCCCTAGACTATGTATAATTATAGTCTGTGTAGTTATAAATGAACGTGCCTTCTGTGTTTTACACCTACGCTTTGAATGGCATTGAGGAGAGCACGCCTGATAACCTGAGACACAGGACACACAAGAAACCAGGAATGAAAGATATTTCTGACAGAGCAGCACATGGACCTCCCGTCTGCATCTGGCAAGGAAGCCAAGGTCAGGTCCACTTGGCTGCAATGGCTGAATTTTGTCAGCTGAAAGCATTTTCCAGGGACCTGACTGTGGAGACACTCATGGCCTTCAGACAAGTATGTATTGCCCATCTACTAGAATGCATGAGGAGTTGTATCTGTTCCTTCCTCAGATGATTTTGACTAATACATATGATGTGTTATGGACCCTATTGGCCATATCCAAACCAGATCCCAAATCACCTTAGTGTCACAGAACGAGTGGTGGCAGGGGTGAGTGAAGGTGGGAAAGGAGCATATCCGTCACACTTAGTTCCCAGGGAAGCATGTTATTTGAACCTCTGTACATACATACACACACACACACGCAGGTAGAAGAAATGATGAGGGATCAGGAGTGCAGCTTCATTGTGAGTTCATCTGCATTTATTCTTTCTGCACATTTTCATGCGCTGCGTATTGTTGGTGCCTCTTCTCATCATGTTCCTGTGGTTATAGGACTGCTTATGTGAGCGGTTCTCAAGAGGGGACTTGACCTTACATGACTTGCACCTAAGTCCATTCAAATCTCTGTCACAAATGGTCTGATCCCGCCTCAGGCCAGAGATCTTTTCCAGTCCTATGAGCCCATGATTCATACACACTTAAACTATTTCAAGTCAGCACGGGGGAGGAATATCTTCTTATCCTGCCAAAGGCTTCTACTTTTGCCAGGTGTTTGAACCAAATCTACACATATATTGGACATTTTTCGTGTTTAGGATACCTGAATGTACTTCAGCCCAAAGCATTCGGACGCCGAGTTTGTACAAGCTGTCTGAGCTTGGTGTTTGCAGAGACACTCGTCCCGTCTGCACAGATGCAACCTGAGTTGGCATCTGAGCTGGGCAAACCTGGCTCCTCTCTCCAACAGCCTCTAAAACAAGTGTGGAGCTTGGGCACTAATTAGGAGCAGCTCATCTCACCTGCTCACGGAGGC